GGTTGGTGACACAGCTACTGACTCCACAGCATTGCCTGCCGGAGTTTGCAGAATCTTCCACGTGGCAACTGAACCCGGAAGACAGTGCACGCCCCCAACTACAGTACCCAGAATTCTTGGCCTGATAGCCTACAGCCACAACCACAGCACCCCCAAAACCTGCTTGCCGCAACCAAAGAGATACATTTCCCACAATACTTGTTATGACCATGCAGACTACATTGCCCAGGAGATTCTAGAAACAATCCCCACCCATTGCAGTGTCCAGAACCCTCTGTGTGACTCTCCCTCCCAGGATTACCCAGAAACTTCACTGTGCCACACACCCCATCACGGCTCACAGTATCATGGCAGGACACCACTTTCCCAAGGACTACGGTACCAGGAAGGCTACCTGTGTGCCCACCACAAGAACCAAGGTACCCAAAAGCCTCTGCACACATCTATACTAGAGGAGCCTGAAGTATCACTGTGCCCCCTCCCCTCCAGGATGACAAGAAGATCCCACATGGCCAAAGGACTACAGTACACCACGACAGGATCTAGAGTCCTCGGGGTGCTCCTCAAAGACTAGGTACCCAGAATGATCCCCAAGGACTCTGTTACCCAGAATCCTCACTGTAACCCCTACAAGAACTGTAATACCTAGAAGCTTCAGTGTGACCATCCTGAGAAATATGCCCAGAACCTCCCACAGGCCACAGGATTGCAGTACACAATTCTCTGTGTACCCATTCAGAGAGGAAGGCACCCTGAATCCTGGAGTGGCTCCTTCATAAACTAGTATATCCAGATTCCTAAGTGTGACATCCCCCAGGACTATGGTACCCAAAATCCTTGGTGTGTTTTCAGCCCTCCCCCCCCAAATGGAATACAATATCCTGAATCCTCAGCATTCTCCCATGGGGTTACAATACCCAGAACCTTTAGCGCTATGCCTTCTTACCCCCAGGACTACAGTACCCAGAATCCTGATGTGGCCCATGACTATAGGAAACAGGATCCTCAGCCAGTCCCTGCAGATTCATTTCCCAGGGCCTAAGGGTGGCCATTCACTCATGTTTATAACACACCTAGTCCTCAATGAGATGTGCTAGTAAGTCTATGTTCCCTTGATCCAGTGGGATGGCCCTTCTCTAGGCCCTGGTTTCTACATTTTTATGACTCATGGATACATTGAGAATATGTGCCATTTCTGTGCTACGGGTGAACAATTTCCCCAGTGCTTTGCTTTGGCCTGTTTGTGCTGTGGAAAGCAACTTTCAGCCTGGTGTGGTCCATGCCTGTAATATCAGCACTTGGGAGACCGAAGCAGGAGAGATTCACTGCAAGTTTGAATCCTGCTGGGCTACATACGTGAGTTCAGGCTCAGCCTGATCCTACATGGCAAAGACCCTGTTCTCAAAAAAAATAAAATTTCATATATTTTATAATTCTGTATTTTAAATGACAGGAAGACATTTTTAAAATCACTTTTTTTATAGATTAGCCTTGCAAGGTTCAAAACAAAGATCTTGGGCTTTTCTCTCCCTTAAGTTAGTTATGTGTTCTTTGCTAGATATATAGTGCTTATGTGTATATATGACACAGTTTGGTCCACAAATGAGTTAAAATGAATTTTAAACTACTAGTAAATTATGAAGTGACATGATTTTGTAATAATGTAAAATTCCTGCTTTTGTTGCAAATTGATCATATATTTTAACACTAACTTTTGTGTAAAATAATTCTGGGCTAGGGATTTGGCTCAGTGGCACTGCACCTGCCTCACAAGCGCAAGGTCCTGAGTTCAATTCCCGGTACCAAAAAAAAAAAATTCTTGTTAGCATGTTCTAAGGAATTTTTTATTTGGGGGGGGTATGGGGATCAAACTCAGTACCTTGCGCTTGCAAGGCAGGTCACAGAACCACTGAGCTAAATCCCCAGCCCCAGGAAATATTTTTTTAAAATTAAAAATACAGTGATTATGTTAATCTCTGCTTGAAATAATAAAGATTGGCGTATTGATCTTTGTAAAATTTAGAGAACTTTTTTTTAAAAAAAGGATATAAAATTGTCAAAATAACTTCCCTGAAGGTTGTTTACACTTGGCATCCTGTTGCTGACAGCATGGGTCATTGCTGCTGCACAACAATATGAGTGGGTACTGTACCACATGTCATTGGTGAGTAAAAAGGATAAAATTTGTTTAAAAGAGTATATATTTTTCTAGCTGCATATCATTTTTTCTATCACTCTGGAGTACTGGAGATTGAACTCAGGTCCTTGTGCATAATAGACAAGTGCTGTGGAGTGGAGAAACAAATTCAAACCAATTTCTCTTTAAAATTGGGACTTTCTCACTTGGACAGTCTGGCCCCAACCTCAGAATCCTGCCTGTGTCCAAAGTGGCTGAAATGGCAGTTGTGCACCAACATACCTGTGTATCACTTCTGCACTGTCATAAAGCTAAAGTATTGCGAGTGGACACACTCTAACTCTGGTCTGTGTGATGAGAAAAGAGTCCGCTATAAAATATCATTCATTGTACTATTACAAGCTCCACAGCAGGCTTCCTCAGGCAGCCAGAGAAAGGAACATGTTATTTTGGCACTTTGAGAAACCTGGAATTTTTCAAAATCATGACACCCAAGCAGAGACTGACGATGGAAACTTGCCTGGCTCTAATGACACCTATTGACCTTTTCCTACACTGTAATCACCCCTAAACAACTCACCTATAAGTGCCACTCCATTCAGACTGCCATAACCTCTGGCTGCTGGTTGCTTCACTTAAAGCGAGGCACCTATAGAAAAGCAGCACATGGGGCAAAAGGGAAGGCAAGATATGTATTGTCAGACTAACACCTGATGTTCTCAGAGCACGGCAATCCAGATGTCCTGTACTGGCTCTGCCTCCTGTGAGCTAACCTCTGATAGCTCTGGTTCTCACTGGGTTCTAGTACATTCATATTTCCCACTTTTTGCAGCTTGATGTTACTGGCTTTGTAAAAATTTTTATGTGCTACATGGGTTTCCTCTAACACTATGTATACTTTTGTAAATAAATTTTCAACCCCTCACTCAGCCTTTGTGTGTGGTATCCAATTTTTACCTGGACTCTACAAATCACATTTGTGTTAGCATCTATACAGGCATTAAGAGACTCATAAGCAAAATTGAAGGATTTGGTGTAACTACTTAAGTTCACATGCAACAATCATATAATCATGAATACGTTAAAATTATGTAGTTAATTTTCAGAAAAGTGTCTGAAGAGGAAAGCTATCTCAGGATGCTATACAACATGTTATAAGCATAGCAGCACAAAGTACACACTTTATCTTTTCTGGGGTTCCGTATACTGCAAGATTGATTTTGGCAAATTTGTTTTCTGGTGACTATCTTCTTGGCGATTATCATTTTCTTTCACTCTGCTTTGTTCTTTCTAGGAGAGACTACTTACTACTATAAAAGGACCCATATATGTGAATAGGCAGAAATTTATTCAGATCTTGAAAACTTCATATCCATGTACTACAATGATCTTGGCCAAGGAGTCAACCCATAATTTGGAGGTGTATATTCCACTGAGGACAAAGCCAGAGCTAAACACAAGAGTTTTCTGGGGATGATGCTAAGCAGATTGGACTCTATCAACTAGAATTGATAAGCAAGGTTCAGCAATAGAGGTATAATTTTCAGAAATACTGAGAATGGGATTCAGGGAGTACTATAATTTCAGAAAGGATTAAATACCAGTATATGAACACTAAATGATAATAAATGACTGTATCCATGTAGTAAACAATGGAAATGAAAGTAATTAAAACTAATCAAAATGAAGAATGGCATTGAAAATGCCAAACAAAAACCACAATAGAAATGCTTATTGGCAAGTACAACCTCAGTGGAATGTACAATCTAACAGTTTTGGTCATGATGAAAATTGTATATTGGGCATCTTTATTTTCTTAAATGTTATAAAATATGAACCTATGAATTGTAATAACAATTACAGCCAAGTTGCCAAAAAAATTGCTCAGCATTGCTCTTTCCTAAAAAGACATTTTATTTAAACAAATTTAACTTAGGTATAAGAATTATTCCATATATTTATTACTCCAGGTCAGATTCCCAACATGGCACAAGCTGTTAACAAAATGGTACTGGAACAACCATAATAGACTAGTGTCAGCTAAGGTGCACATTTGGTCATGTAATCTCTGAGGCAATTTGTAAGATAAAGGCCCATGAGACTCTGTGCTTCTCAGCCAATAGTGCCCCACAGGAGACTTCATCCTATCATCTTAGCCATCTGACCCTCATGTTTATACTGTGAAATTATGACCACATCCTTTCTACTTAGCATTTGCATCACCTAACACAATTACCTTTCGGGTATACAGAGAAAACCCTAAAAACAACTTTTAGCCTGTGGCACTGCATCAATCACTGTACTCACTATTAGACCCCACTTTTTTGTACTCTGAGAGACACATTGTGCTTTCTCATTAACATCTCAACTTCCCCATCCCAGGAAGAAAAAAAATACAATCAATCTTTGTCTACTCCTGATATTTCACTTAATGACCTCTTGGATGAGCTACATTATCACAAATGAAGGATTTCCTTTGTCTTCATTTTTCATAAAATTTCATTCTATGAATAGATTTCACTTTACCCATTCAACTAAGGTCATGGTTTGCATGTAAAATTTCCCTTTAAGGCCATGTACTGGAGACTCGGACACAAGGCTGCTGTGCTGAATTTAACATTATTATGCTACTTTCTGCTATCATCAGTGCATTCATCCAAAGACCTATTGGAGGAAAAATATCCCTGTCCATGTGCTTTAAAATAGTGTATTTCATTCCTAATACACCTCTGTCTCTGTCCCTCTGATTCTTGGCTTTCTCACTTTCTGTATTTATACTAAATCTCATTGAGTTTGTACATGTTTTCTTACGTTATGAGAATCATAACACTTTTTCACATTTTTTACAGACTTTCTCTTCAGTGGGAGCTCTCTCATGTTAGTCAAGGTAAGTGGAACACTGGAAGGGTTCCCCACAGTTACTGCATACACATGGCTTCCCTCTTAGGTGGATTCACGTACTTTAATGCACCAAGAAAAATAAAACATTTCCCTCATTGTTCACATATGTTCAGATTCTCTCTTCTATGAATTCTTTCAGTTATCTAATGATACCTGTGTACTCAGATTTACATTGCATATGAAAAGGCTTCTCTGCACTGTCCTTTGATGTCAGTACAAGTCACTTTTTATATTCAAAGTTAATTTCTTCTTAGTTTTTCAATGATGATTATTACAGTAACCAAAGGCTTTTCTATACTCCCTACAGTTTCTAGCCTGTGTGATTCTTTTCATGTCTTACACAACCGCTGTGTGTGCTAAAAGCATTTCCACATTGCTTACACACATAAGGTTTTTCACCAGTGTGAGTTTGTTCATGTGTTCGGCAATTACTCTGTTGCTTGAAAGCTTTCCCACACTGCTTACACACAAAGGGTTTCTCTCCAGTGTGAGTTCTTTCATGTACTTGACAATGACAGTGTTTGCTGAAAGCTTTCCCACATTGCCTACATACATACGGTTTCTCACCACTGTGAGTGTGTTCATGTGTTCGGCAATTACTCTGTTGCTTGAAAGCCTTTCCACACTGCTTACACACATAGGGTTTCTCTCCAGTGTGAGTTCTTTCATGTACACGACAATTACCATGCGTGCTGAAAGCTTTCCCACATTGCTTACATACATAGGGTTTCTCACCAGTGTGACTTCGTTCATGTCTTTGACAATAACTGTGTATAGCAAAAGCCTTCCCACATTGCTTACACACATAGGGTTTCTCACCAGTGTGAGTTCTTTCATGTACTCGACAACTACCAAGTGTACTGAAAGCTTTCCCACATTGCTTACATATATAGGGTTTCTCACCAGTGTGATTTCTTTCATGTATTTGACAATAAGTGTGTGTAGTGAAAGCTTTCCCACATTGCTTACATACATATGGTTTCTCACCAGTGTGAGTTCGTTCATGTGTTCGACAAACACTGTGTTGGCTGAAAGCTTTCCCACACTGTTTACATACATAGGGTTTCTCACCAGTGTGAGTCCGTTCATGTATTTGACAATGACTGTGTTGGCTGAAAGCTTTCCCACACTGCTTACATACATATGGTTTCTCCCCAGTGTGAGTTCTTTTATGAATGTGACAATAACTTTGTGTGGTGAAAGCTTTCCCACACTGCTTACATACATACGGTTTCTCCCCAGTGTGAGTTTGTTCATGATTACCAAATGAATTGTTATTAGTAAAGGACTTCTCACATTGTTTATACACATAGGATTTTTCTCCAGTGTGAGCTCTTTCATGTTTCTGAATATCATGGTGAGAATTAAAATCTTTTCCACCTTGTATAGGTATACAAGTATTCACCCTGTGATTTCTTTGCTGGATTTGAACATAATTGGCTGAAGTGACAGCTTTTACATCCTGCTTATATACGAAAGACTTCTCTTCAGCATTACTTCCTTCGGTGCAATCAGAGTAAGATTTTCCACATTGTTTACATCCATAGGGTTTCACTCCAGGATTTGTCTTTGCATGGTTCTGAAACGACTGGACGTCAGTGCAGGATTTCCATTGTCTGTTACAGTTAGATACCTTCTGTTCAAATCCAGGATTCTCATGTGATTTGAGTCCAGTGTTATCTATAATTGGCATGGTTGGTGATGAATAACAAATCATGGGCTTGCTACAGGCAAGGCCTTCACCTGGTTTTGTACCAAGCAGTTTAAAGTGCACATTAGTATCGGGAGTCATAAAAACCATTTCTTCATGTTGATACCATAATTTATATTGACAGCATTTCTCCACCTCTTCACTTCTGTCAAAGAAAAAACCAAAAAGAACAATCACATGTAGAAATGCTTTCATATTAAAAGTTTACAAGGTGGAGACCAGATTTGATGTCCTCACTGAACATCTGATTATAAATTTACTGTACACTCTGGACGATGGCTTGGAAATAGCTTTTGCCAAACCAGTGTCCATTTGGGAGATTGTGACTGACAGGTCTGCAATATATAATACTTACTTTCATTTTGAGGAATTGCTAAATATGTATAGCATATGTTATCTTTCATACCCTTTTTTTTTTTAAAAAATTCTTTTATTGGTACATTTTAGGTATACAACACAATTACATTTCTCATTGGGAACTTGTACCTTTACGTGATGCATCTTGGTTCTTATTTTTTTCCCCATTTCATACCCTTTTTCTTAATGCCCTCCACCTTTCACTGAGCCTCTTCACTCTCTCCAAAATGTCTCCTCTCTTTTTTGTAACATCTTTTTACTCCTTAATTCATATTTTGCATTTTTCATACAAAATATAACATGTGATATTGAAATTTCTGTGTCTGTCTGATTTAACATAACACAGGCTCCAGATACATCCATTTTTGCAAATGACATCATTTCATTCTCCTTTATGGCTGAATACCATTCCGTTATATATATACACCACATTATTTTCAGTGCTGGAGACTGAACCCAGGGTTTTAGCACTGAGCTACATTCTCAGTTATTTATTTTTTATTATGAGAATGAGTCGCATCAATCATTAAGTAGCCCAGGCTGACCATAAATGTATGATCTTCCTACTTCAGCTTTTCAAGAGTCCTAGGATTCCAAGTATACAACAAGCTGTCCAGGCTATTCCATTTTTTACTCATCCATGCATGGGAATCTAGGCTCTTTCCAGAGTTTCACTTTTGTAAGTTGTGCTGCTATAAACTTGGATATGCATGTATGACTGTAATATGATTTCTTTAACTTTGGGGGAATAGATCCAGTAGAAGTATAGCTGGATAAAATGGAATTTCTATTTTTACTTTTTTGAGGAATCTCTGCACACATTTTCACAGATGTTATACAACAGTGACATTCCCAAAAATATTATGGGAAGGTGCCTTCTGCTATTTCAGAACATGAATGGACCAAATGCTTTACAGGATTACTTGAAAACAGCTATTATCAAAACAAAGGCATTCATTTGGATTTTGATTACTTCCCCAAGGTTACCAATTTTGCAAGTACTGAATGTGTATACCACCTTTAAATATATATAGTACTTGCATAATTTGATAAGAAAGTGGCCTTTTGAAAATACACATATTTGTAATTAGATATCCTGTACTTGGCTCTCAGTCTAAAGGCAACTTCTTTTATATACACATATAGTCAATGCCTAAATGTAATTTCATACAACTGTTTTATAATCTTGCACATGGAAAATAACTGTTTATTTTTATACACTGGATAATGTCACTTGTGGCATAATGTCAATACTGTACTCCTCGCATTTCATATATTTGGTTATTTCAAATATATGGTAGATGCTACATATCCAACAAGGATGCATCTTTGGAAGAATTTTGTGAGATTAAAAACATTTGAACAAGACCTGACTTGTGCAGTTTGTGTGGTCTTAATAGTTCTGACCTTTAAGGAACGTTCTTCTTGTGAGTGCAAAGTACCTTAGATTTTTCCTGTAATTTTTATACTCATCTTCAATTTGTTGGTCATCCCACTTTCTTCCTAAAGTATAGAAAAGGAAATATAATGATGAGTCACTACATTACATATTGTTACATACCAGTTAGATTCACGGTATAATGTGATCATACCTGGAAGATTCATCAAAATATTTCCATATTCCTATAAAAGAAACTGCGGTGATAAGCAAGAACCAATGCTGTCTGACTGTGTAAATGAGAACTGATATCCTCCTTACCTATAGAGGCCACATTCCTAAAGTTCTCCCACATCACATCTCTGTGGAGCTCCTTCTGGGATGGATCCAGCAAAGCCCACTCCTCCATGGTGAAGTCCACAGCCACATCCTCAAAGGTCACTGCCTTCTAAATCATCAGAAATATATTTCCAGGAAGAAGAGTGAGACTCACAAAATACTTCAGTGCTACTCATAAAAAGCTGAAATGAGGCTGAGTCCTACAAATGTTTACTTCAAGCCTTGGTCACTAAACACTTATTCTCTATCCACATGTACTTGTCACATAGGAATTTTGATGCTAGATAGGAATTCATCACTAAAGAAACAGGCAAACAGGAATACTGCTTCTCCTGCCCAGTTTTATTTCTGTGCTGTGTCTAAAGAATGAGTCATAGAATGAGTGTACGAGATCAGACTTGGGGTAAAAAGAACTGGGGTAGATAAATATCTAATGACTTTCTCTGATAGATCAAACAAAATATTTCTATTTTCAAAGTTTATTTGGGGAATGGATCCCGTCCTTCTGTGCTTATATTTGGAATGCAAACTTGAAACTGGTTTCCTAGACAAAACTGTAATTAAACACAAAGTAAAATTCATGAAGGGTAACTTAAAATGGTAATTTTAAAAATTAGTTTTTATGGGAGAATGTAACAATGCAATTAGATTAAAGAAGACATGTAGCTCAATGACATGAAATGCTTACCTGTTACAAAGATGTAAAAATTTCTAAGGTGTAATAGAGAAATGTGGAGACAGAGCAACCCAGTGTCTGTGGCTAGGGCTGCACAACCAGTGTTGGGAAGATGCTGGGACTAAGCCACATACAGTGGCCCTAATGTCCAACCCAGGGAAAGCCTCGGGAATGATCAACGAAGTACACCACCTCTAGCTAAATGTTGGGCCTGTGCACCCAGTGCAGGGAGAATCTAAAGACTCACTGACCAAGCACCCTGGCCACAGCTACACACCCACGGGTGCTCCTGGGGTCTTCTCAGCACGTGACAACAGAGGTGGCAACCAATAGACCCACCCAATGGAAGAAAACAGCCAAAAGGAGAGTTTTGCTGAAGGACTGAAGTGTTACCCATAGAGACTGGGTGAGAGAAGCCTTGGGAGACACGTTTGGAGAGGGCAGGGCTAAAAAGGGATCTTCTAGGATCCATTGGGAGGTCTAGGATCAGACCAGGAAATTCACAGGGCCTGTATTCCATTAGGAGAGGCTAGGCCTAGAGGATGAAATCAGAAAGGGTGGTCCTAAAGGGCAGATGGTTAGTCTAATGGTATCTTTGAGCTCTGACACTACTGCTTACATCCAGCACAAAGTAGTGGTCCAAAGTACAATAGGCTAATATACAGATGGTCTCCCTTCAATAAAATCATAGTCCTTTTAGTTCTCTTTAAGGGATGTCCATGAGTGATTCACTGGTTCTGTCAATATCCACTTGTCATCTGATGCCATTGATACTACTGATCCCAATGAATTTACCAAGGTAACATATTTGTGGATAACAACTAGTTTTCTCTCTCTATGCCAATACCTGGATTTCCTAGAGATCAAAACCAAAAAATGGATATACATACACACAGGACCTTGGGGGAAGAAGGTCAACTAAAGACCCCCCAAAGTCTCCCAACTCTCCTCGGGAGCACTTATCAGGAAAGCAAGTATCAGGCAGCAGAACACTACACAAACTTTACAGAAGTGAAAAACCTAGATGAGTTCAAAGACGAAATGAACCAAAAGTACTTCACTCAATATGCCCAAGATACATTCAGGGGAAATTAGTAAAAAACTGGACAAGCTGACCAGAATGGATTAAAACATGAATGACAGATTCAAGAAAGATACAAAATCTTCAAAACGATGACAGGTAGAAGTACCTGAAATAAAAGGGTATCAAATTCATAATTTTCAGAATTGAGCAATGTGAAGACAGATGGAAATTGTGGACAAAATAGTAAACTATGCAGAAATAGTCAAAGGAGCCACAAAGAAAAGAGAGAGGAAAAGAGCATCCAGCAGTTACTAGACAACACCAAAAAGACCAACCAAAGTCAAAGGATGAAAAACACAGGAACCCAGGAAAATGCAGGGGTAGCTATCTTATTTGCAAACAAAGTGAATTTCAAGCCCACACTGATCAGAAAAGACAAGACACTTACATACTCACTAAGGGAAAAATCCAAGAGGAAGTGATAACAATCATAAATACATATGCACCAAATACCAGGACACCAAACTATCAAACAACAAGGAAATCATGAAGATCAGAGCAGAAATTAATGCAACTAAGACTAAGAAAAAAACACAAAGAACGAACAGTTGGTTTTTTAAAAGATTAATTAAAATAGACAAATCCTTAGCCAATCTTATAAAAACAAGGAAAGACCCAAATCCATAAAATTAGGAATGAAAAGGGTGAATTTACAACAGATCCTCCAGAAATCCAGATCTTTGGTACTTGCTTTGAAAACCTGTACTCTAATAAGATGAAAAATGCAGAAGAAACAGATTCATAGATACATACGAGTCACCAAAGCTGAATCAAGAAGACATAATTTTTTTTAATAATCCAATATCAGGCAATGGAACTGAACAAGTAATTAAAAAACTACTAACAAGAAAAGCCAAGGATGACCCTACCAAGGTCCCCAGTCATGCAGAACACACGCCAAATCAGCCCGCTGCAGACAGGCAGGTCTGTGCATGCCCTACCGAGGTCCTGAGTCAGGCGGAAGACGCCTAATCACCCCGCTGCAGACAAGAAGGTGTGCCCATGCCCTACCTAGGTCCTGAGTCACACAGAACACG